CATAAATTAATTTTAAAAATAATGAAAAAATGCAAGTAAAAGAAATTTCTGTTTACGACTTTTTCATTTCTGTTTGTCTAGAAAATGCTTTATTATGGCTGGTGTAAGATTAAAAGATCGAGTCTAAAATATATGGATATATAACTTAATTCATAAATGCAAGCAATTCATGCATGTTAAAAGAAAGCGAAGATTAAAACACTTCCTTTTTTTTTAACAATATTCAATTAACAAGTAATGGGAATGATTTCGATATTAATTTACGTCGGAATTATTCACAATTAATTAAATGCTTTATTGTTGTATGTGTTTTTAAATTCTCAAGAGGATTTTTGTTTCCATTCTTCCTTTCTTCCTGTTTTTCTCAAAAATACAATGAACTGAAAAGTTATCCAATTCAAAGTTTTCTTAGTAAATTATTGGAAATAAATCCAAACTTATATTTATAATTAAATGGTCAATTCGACGTGGTGTGAATGGTTAGCAAGCTTGCTTCACTAGATCAGTTACGACTGAGTAGTGAGTTCGATCCTCACTGGGTGCTCCACACTTTCGGCTTTGTACCACATCTAAGCAGCGCTTAGAAAATCACTATATTTATAATTAAATACGATTTGCGTGAATGATCATATCATTACTTTCCTGCCATCAGCATTTACATATATAAACGCAGATACTATCTCATTTATATATATAAAACATTGCGAATATGCATCGATAAGTCCGTAACCTAGCTGAATTTCAATCTGAATTTTTCCCTGTATAATGTCTAAACTATATGATCAATAGTCAGCCCTGATGTAAGTACATTGATGCAGAAGGAGACTCTGTTTAAAATCAAATAAATATTAGTTGTGCTTATGTAAAATAAATGGCATTTCAGAGTTATTGATTTTCTTCTATACAAGGGGCTACTGAAAATTTCCCACTTAGACGATGAATCCTTTAACTGTAAAAATCTAATATTCGGTTAGATTTTGAGAAGTGGGGCGGACCTCGTTTGTGGCAATCAGCTGGCACTAATATGTATATAGTTTTGTAAATGAAAAATATAATTTAATTTTGCAAAGAAATTCGCAACAATTAAATCAAACCCTTTGAAAATTTTGTACATTCCTTTACCTCGATGAAAAAGGAAAAATTTAAAAATACTACAAAACTCAATAAAAAAAAATCATCAAAGTTTACTTTTTTGTCATATTCATCGAAACATGTTTAAAAGAAAGGTTGCTGCTCAAATATACATTATGTGTGTGTATGTGCGTATAGATAGATAGATGGATGGATATGAAATCATAAAAGATATTGTCTTTAAATGTAATCTATTTAACTATATTACAATAGCAATGAAATAAAACACAACGGTTTACCAAGGTATTTCTGGAAGACCTTTAAACAACAAATAATATTTTCAATTATCTATCCCTATTTTGATTTTAACAGAGATCAGGGTGAGTAGTAAAAAATATCGCCACTTATTTAATTTTTCGATTTCTTACATCTGATAAGTGCATAATATCTCTGTGAAACATAGAGTAGGGACAAATAAATGAACATGTATGTTTGTAGTTAGGTATAGAATTATAGATAAATGTTAATGGTGATGATAAAATTAGCCGCTTCCATATCAGAAACCTTTGGAATCCATTAAGTAAATTTAGTACTGACGGTTAAAATTTATATGATAATTTTATTAAAACTTTTTCTCTGAGAATTTGAGTTCACTGTACCCCTCTTCATTGTACTGATATATATATATATATATATATATATATAGATAGATAGATAGATAGATATAGATAGATACATAGATATACTTCATGAACTCATAAAAAATATATTAAACTTTAACAATAGCAATGATGTGGCTGCTATTGAAAAATAAATAGTTTTGTAAATAAAAATAGAAATACTTATATTTGCTTCATATATATATGTGTGTGTGTGTGTGAAAAGAAAGGAATGGATTTTTTATTTATTAAGAGGAGGGGTTTTATTAAAATTTATTTTAAGTCAATACTTGAAGACGCCCCGTTTATTTATTAAATGTATAGACGAAAATAAATATACTGTTTAATAAATAAGTATCCCCCTAAAAAATAATGTTTAAGTAATAATATATATATATATGTGTGTGTGTGTGTGTATATATTTATATATATGTATATATATTTATATATATGTATATATATTTATATATTATAAATTAATTGATTTAAAATATGTTTTTTTCCGCTACACAGTTCCAACCATGTTTCAAAAATAGAAGCTAAAAACCCCGAATTTAATTTTGCAATTAAATTAAAAGCATTAGTTCCATTTCATCTTCAAGCTAATTTATATACATATTTATATATATATATATGTATATATTTATATATATATATATTTATAT